TGTACATGCACGCGGGCTGCCAAATCCCGAGGGTGCCGATACCCTCGGGATTTGGCAATGTCAAATGTTTCTTTTGTCGCATCACTAATATACCTCAAAAGACGCGACAGGGTTGTTGTAAATTTTAAACGTTTCTCATCATAGCTGTAAAAGTCTAAATGTTAAACTTAATAGATTTCCGTCTTTTGTTTTCTAACTAATTCGTTTTAGGACCAGGTGTTGTCCGCGGAAATTTCCAAAATTTACAACTTTTCGGTCACTCTCGTCGAACTGGAAAAATGTCTGTCTTTATTACATCTAATACAGTATTTCGAAGAAATCAGTCCCCACTGTACTCGGCTAGAGATTGATTCGGTTAAGCTTTTGTTTAAGTAATATTCCGGCTCTTTCATCAGGGTTTTGTTTATGTCCCCAATTCCCTAATCGCTTAATTATTTAACTACTACTTAAGTAGAAATAAGTCGAAACCAGTTACTTTGTACTCGAATATTTGTAGTCTCGGGAAAAAGTGGAAAGACAAATTTTTATGACAAACAGATACATAAATCGTAAATTTAAGGAAAATAAATTCTAGAGCCTTTTCTGTACCTGGTGCATCTCTCTCATTCATTAAATTTAGTTGTAAATGATGCTACCAAAGTAACAGTTAATTTTTTAACATTATACAAGAATTGTACACGTTTTTTTCTACACTCCCTTAAAGATGGGATGTACGAAATCGTAATATCACTGGTTTAACATCGAAATCCGTGAGTAATATAAAATCGGAAAGCGGAATAAATCTATCAAATATTTTAATGCATTTTTTTAACTCCTGTCAACTATACAGAACTATCGTAAAAACATACCAGTAAATTCTTATCGGTTGGGTTAAGTTATAAATCTACTCATTATTCACGTAATCGAACTATCTAGTGGGCAGGCGGCTAACAGCCCAGAACCGGTCCTTGACAGAGTTGTAATCTTATATGTGTGCAGCTTTCACCCAAGGTCGTAGGCTTCCACCGGCTACACAGGGTGACGTTGGTGTTCTGTAAAGCGCATGCGCAAATCTTGCTTTTCGTAATCTGAAAATACAGGATATTACACTCCGTCACTAATATTCCAATATACAATAGCAATTTTTTTTTTGTTTTTTTCCACGTGTAGTATAGAAATTTGTAATAATATACATAATGCGGTTATAATAAAATATTGTGCGATTATTTTCATAATTAAAATTAATATTTATTTATTTTTTAGAGAATACGAGGGAAGCGGCGCTTCCAACGCTTCTAATGACGGCACGCCACTGCAATTAACACAAATTATGTTAATTGTACAATTATCATTATTATCATGTCAGCGAAGCGGCAATAAAATATTTACTACCATTTTGCGCAATATACCTCTGCGAGAGCGGATTTTCGGCCGTGACAAACATGAAAACTAAACATCCTAACCGACTTCAACTCGAAGATGACTCGAGACTAAAAGCTGATCAAAAAGCAACCAGATTTTGCAAAGTTGTGCAAAGATAATCGTGCACATTTGCCACATTAAAATTAAATAACCTTATGTTATTTTCATTATTATTAGAATTGTATTTTAAAGGTAATAAATGTAAAAAAAAATTATTTTATTTATCACTAGTTGTCTACCCACGGCTTCGCCCGCATTATATCGAATTTTCTCGTTGGAATAAGATATTTTCTCGCAGTAAAATGTAACCTATGTCCATCTCCAACGTGTACGCTATCTCTGTGCCAAATTTTATTAAAACCTGTTCGGCGGTTTAGACGTGAAAAGGTGACAGACAGACAGAATTACCTTCGAATTTATAATATTAGTATGGATTAATATGAATTTCTGTTGTAAAGGGTACGCGAGTTTGAGCTCTTTCTTGAAGTGGTTCGCAGGAAAAACTAATTGGGAACCAAGATGATTATTGATAATATTCTATTGTTTTAGACTGTTCTGCAGAAATCCGGGCAAAATATTAATATAAAAAAATCAATAATTTGCTATATCCTAAGTTTTAATTACTGTTTTGTTTTACGAGAGTATGACAGCATGTAGCTAAGATAACTTAGTGTTGTTATGGTCCGTTGTGTGGCTCTATCTAGCGGGAGAAAATATTTTCCTTTGGACACAACTCTTCTACGGGATTTCCCCCATTTGACTAGGCTGATTTTATTGTAGGCTGTGGTACAAACTACTGTGTAACAGTTTTATGAAAAACATGAAGAAATAAACTTAGTTTCTTATTCGTTTTTTCTTCAACTACACACAGTAAACTCGTAGCATTAAATTGAATAATTAAACTTATCTGTACAACTACTGTATCATTTTGAATAATTTCACACAAACTACAGCTCCAAAAAGAATCAGTACCGAAGAGCGACAGGTCACTTCATTCATTGCTCCCTTAGGTAGGCTTCAGGATCATCAGTAATATGACATCTTTGTGTACAAAGGATGGACGGATTAGCAAGTCTAGTGTATCGAATTTCGTTCAATTCTCTTTGTTGATGTAAGAAAGAATGGTTAATTCCTATCGCAATTCCGTTAACAATATACTCGGAATATTGATTCGTTCGACTTTTTTAAGTAATAGAACAAAGTGGACTATATCTACCGCCAATTTTTTGAATCGATCATATATAAAAATAAGAATTAAAATAAAACTTTAAATTAAAAAAACTGTTTAAAGATGTTAATACAAGTTGAAATAAATCATCATCATGTGATTATCCTATCGAATTCTTTTGAGCGCGGCACAAGTTTTAACGTTTCACGTTTCCAGATTTCTAAAGTAATCTTTTACCCTTACTAAAAACTTGTAAGAGAGCGTTAATTTCAGCTTCAACTTGATAACTTGGAATGAAAATGAAAAATTCCAATTTAACATACTACATTAAGGCAAAGGCCTTAATGTATGATCAGGAAGATAAAAATTGCAATGAAGTCTTTGCTTTATTGCAATTTTTATTTCAGATTTTTAGAAATTCTGCAATGCGAAGGATTTCGTTGCACACAAATATTTGTATAATCGATACATCCTCTTTGCAACTCCTTCTGTCTCTAACAATCTGCTCCGATAATCGATTTGGAAATTTTTTGCCCTTAGCTTGAAGAAAGGATAAATAGGCACACCTTACTGGTCGGTAAGTTATTTTCCAGTTTACTCAGAAGGGGAATCTCTCTCGATCTAAATTCGAGTCCGACTAAAGTTTTCTTCGATTTATACAACTGTCTGTGGTCCAGTACATGTATGCGATTTTGTCACGCGAGATATCATCAGGCACGTTTCTAGGCTTAAAGATCTGCATGAATCTTTTCAATCGGTGCGATTATTTGGTAGCCAATGCGCGAATTTGTATTAAAATTTTTTTTTTCACTTTTGCGATTGTTCAGTGATGTAAACGCCAGTCGTGATATGTATACTATAGCGCCGAAAACGCATAGTATTCGGCGCTATGGGAATTATTTGATACGATTGTAAAGAAATCGTGAAAAACAATCGTGTTTTTATTGTACAGTAATACCTCGACTTACGCGATTTTCAAATCTCGTCGATTCGTCATTTGTTTGAGCGCCACGCAACTCTTGATTACTCATTCCCCCCACACTGTAGTTCAGCTTACGTGTTCGGACGTGTCGCGCGGAATCGACGCATAGCTACAACTTTTTTTTGTGTTATTTCTGTGTTTGTTATATCTATGGAGACTTGAGAGACTCTATGTGGCGATTTCTTATAACAGTAAACGAATCAAAAGAAGAGATAAGATTAACGAGAACATTTATTAGCTTACATACATCCGACTTGGATTTTACACAAATTGCGAAATTATACCCCACTTACGCGGTAATCGCTCGGTCCCACCTATCGCGTAAGTTCGGGGTATTACTGTATTGGACAAAATCGGTCATTATATTATTTTACTCCTAAGTCTCTCTCTAATAATCGAGCGATTGTGAAAAAAATGGGGAAGACTGAAAATTTACCGCAAAACTTTTGTTGTAGAGTTTATTTTCTATTGTAATTATAAATTTATGTATTCCATATCATTATGTTTTAGACTATTATAAAAAAAAGTAAAATAAGCGAAAACAATATTTTGGTTTCGTCAGTCATAAAACTGCAAACACATTTTCTGAATACACGTGAAATATACAGGAAAGCTTATTTCCTTGGTATGGTGATGATGTTGGGCAGCCTACTACCCATCACATAGGACATAGTAATAGTTAGAGTACAAAAATCGAGACTAATTTATTTTCTTATTGATATTGACAAAAAGCAGCTGTAAGTTACAATTTATAACTTATAATATCCATGATAAAGTATTGTTTCAATGACTTAACAATTTGCATTGAAATAAATTTGAAAACTCATGAAAATAAAATCAATAATAAAAGGTCGACTTATATTCGGGCAACTACAGTATTTTATTTTCCTTAAAGTCTTAACTGTCCTTTCCCTGTTAACAGGCGAAGGACAGTTAAGACTAATCCTAACAGGCAAAACATTGTCCAATTTTTCTAGTAGAGTATGATATGAATTAACTGTTTTCTGCTGCTAAGTAACTGTTTGAGAAAGTATAAACCTACCATTATATACCATACTTTTTATGAAATTCTGAAATATTGAATATTTTACCAGAAAGATTAAAGATATCTTGAGATCATCAGTGGCAATACTTTTAGTATTGAATCTATTTTTTGATTTTTTTTGTTAATTTGGTATGTACAGACTTCACAAAAATGAAATTTGCCTTATCATCTTTTCCAAAATATGAGATTTTAATTCTGCATCTTTATCATTGTCATTACAGGAAAACTGCTTACATATATAATGAAAAATTTAAAAAAAATCATTGGAATTCTTCAAATTTCTACAGATACTAATTTAATATATATTTATATGAAATTAGTATTATAGCAGATATTCATGAACAGATAAGTAAGTTAATCCTTAAGTGAGAGAGATGTTCTAATATATAATGCAATAAAAACAATTTCAAAGCATAAAAAATTATTTTATTTTAACATACAGACAGTTTCAGATGGAGAAATTTTTCAGGACAATGTGCAATATTGCCCTTCTTATTTAAAATTATAATTTAGATAATACAAAGTTTGCCTGATGCATATTTTGCACAAATCTAAAAGTTACTTTCAAATTTGCTGTCATTTTAATGCAGTGTGCAGTAGAAAAAATCAATATCAATTTGTTCATTTTTGGTCAAGACAATAACAAAGGTTCTATCAATTCTATCTGGATTTTTTTATATATATATATAATATATATATATATATTAAATATATATATATTTAATACAGAATAACATTACTATTACAGATACAGACATTGTATTTTGTTTAATCGTCCAATGAAAATATTTAAGATTAAACAATACTTACAAATAAACATAGCCGACTGAGTATCTTCTTTACATATGATAGATAACAAAGTTATTTATATTTTCATTAAATTATTCTGCACTTTAACTTCAGAACAATTTTATAATTAGTCCTTTTAAATATAATCCAGCTTGTACAATTTGCACAGTAGGTCTCGGTTTTATCCTATCATTTAGCCGAAGTTTACCAGAAGGCTCTAAGTTTATCAGACGATGTAAAACAAATTGTTTCTTGTATTTAAAATCCACTTGTCCTCACCACAATCCAATGATGTTCACTTTATTTCATATTTGTATACAATAGCTAAAATTATTTGTCACTTTCCAAATTTGATCATGAGATTTATACTATACTAAAACAAGAAAATTATGAGAGATGACTAGACAAATCCAAAGTTTTTCGTTTTGATTGCCAAGAGCAGTTTGGCTCGTAAAATCGTTTTAGAGGAATAGAGAGGTATGTAAAGACGAGAGATGCATGTATTGGCAGTAGGAAGATGCTGGTCGTCAGCTGGTCTGATGGTTATACTTGGCATGGGCTGAAACCCTTCCTCACTTGCCGGGAGAGCAGGGCTTCCAGTCCAAAAATATATCTAAGAGATTGAAAAATCTCTAAGAAAGAATTCAAAATTATGAATTGTCAAATTAAAAAAAAAATCATACCAAATCTTGTTTCTCTTGATTTGTCATACGTTCTACAATTGACCAAAACCAGCGTTTGAAACGTATCAGTTTATCTCCACCTTCCCCAGATGGTGCACCAGCTAGTAAATTTAGAACATTTCTATATTAATTATTTTAATCAATTTAACGTAAAATTTACTTAATAAGTATCCACACAAATAATTCTTGTATAAGTTAACAAAAGCTAATTTCAATTATATAAATCACACACATCTTTGTAAATCTAATAGATTTGAAATATCAATTCTAATTAAAAGTTTCAAGACTTATAAATTCAAGTTCAGTAAAGTTAGAAACAACAAACAATTTGTTGTTAGTAAATTTTCCAAGAATCCCAGTAATTTAGCCAGATAGTTTATATGTTCATGTATATAAGGGTCAAAAATCAAAGAATATATGGTTTATAATAATTCTGTTTAAAAAAGGCATTAACAATAAATTTTAAAAAAATTAATCTTATGATATGTAAAATTTAACTTGATGACTTAATCAAAACAAACAGCAATGAGGATATTGAAGAGTGTCCAGGAAATTGCAATAGTCCATTTTCCTTCTTGTAAAGGAGATACCAAGATACTGTATATATCAGAACACTTACTTTACTTATATTTTGAACAAGTACTGTATGAAGCATTCCACAACATATCTGAGTAGATATACTAGTCATGATTTGGATCCTTACCTATCCATCTGTTTGGGAGTGGTTTGTACAAGTGCTTGTAGCCATGTGTCCACCACTGTAACTCTTCCAAAGGGACAAAGGGATATACTTCCACTATTGTAATTATTGCTTAAAATTATACTATTCTAGGACCTTCATATGGCATAGTTGTAGTGGGGTCAGGTGAGTGAGGCAGAGAATGAAATTTCTGTAAACTCCTTGGGGAATTAATTATAAGGTTCCAACTTTAACTGTGGGGGTTTGGAAGGCTTGATCCAGGTGGGGACAAATGATCTGTTTGTCCCCTAGCAGATACCTTGCCTGCAGTTTTTTCAAAAAGAAAGTCAGTCAAGAGTGCTACCAGAACCAGACAACAGACGAATGCAGAGATAGGAGTATTTTTTTCTTCTCACACCAGATCATTTCCACAAAACATCTTGGCAAACTTGGTGCCTTGTCAGACTTTGCAATGATCATGGCAAAACTCACACTTTTATATTGATGTCCCGGACAAGTTAAAGGAAATATTGAAACATCACAAGAATTAAAAATGGGCATGACTTCCCAGACATCATGTATATAAATACACACACATGCATACAGTATATGCATGCATTTGTTTATTTGATCAAAAATGATAAATTTTATTAAATATTAAGATTTTCAATGGCTTTAAATATAAAAGCTTAAAATAAAATTAATTTTAAAATTAAATTAGTTTGTGGAGGTCCAGAAAATGCATCATAAAATTTTCAATTTTATGAAGCATCCTGACCTAATTTAAATTTGATCCTTTTAATTTTGTATATAAATATTAAGTTAATTTAATTAATAAAATTAAATTAACAAATTAAGTTTTTAATTTTTAAATTTCAAACAATAATGCTTAAATATTAATTAATTATATTTAATAACTTCATTTTCGTAGTGACTTAAAAAGTAAACTTTTATACATTTAAATATAATAATTAATTATAAATACCAAACAGTAAACTTATTAAACTTATTCTTACCACTTTCATCATTAAATGATGTATAACTTATCAATGTCTGAACATTTATTTCTCCTACTCCATTTAATAATAAACGAAAATCTTCAGCAGTTAGTCCCTCCAAACTAGCAAGAGGCAAGACATCATAGACACCAGTACGTAAAGCCTATAACCAAACATACACACATTATTTTATAGACATTAATCACTGAAATGATGACAAATGATGTTTATAGACTAGGATCCAGTTACTGCCTGAAATGGGTTCTCTTTTTTTATTAAAAGCAGATTTTATTTTTTAATTCCTTGTAAAATAAAAAGAGGAATGCCAAGAATCAGAGTCCAAGATAAAATGAATGTTAATTTTTTTATAAATGATCTGAGTCTTAAACACTTACCTTAAGTTTTTCAAATACAATAAAATGACAGATTTTTGATGATATGAAATCTGCTTAGTTTCAACTAAGTAAATTTCTCAAGTCACTTTAATGAGTTTTTATAGAATATAAAAACTCATTAAAATTTTAAAATTTTGTTTAAAAAGGTATATTTTTAAGTCACCTTAATGAGTTTTTATATTCTATAAAAACTCATTAAGGTGACTTAAAAATATACCTTTTTAAACAAAATAAATAAATGACTTCATTAGATATTACAATGCCTTTGCAACAGAAATTGTAAGAAAGCCACTTGATTTGCAAATTTGCATAAATTTTTGTTTATACATGTTATGAAATTCCCACAAATGTGCACTCTCATTAAGTTGACATTTTCCAGTTTTTATATAGTATAGTATAGTAAAATGTCTCCAAGGGGAAAAAAAGAGTTACAGATAATTCAAGTTAATCCCCTTCCTACTCACGCTAGAGTCTGACTCGAGCAAGGTTTATAGCGTTAAAAAAAACCGGGCGTTTCGGCCCCCGAAATTTTTTTTTTGATTTTTGGAATGTTTTTTAGGTTCCCAAATTTTTTCAAAATTTTTTGCCCGCGCGAAAAATTTTTATCGCGATTTTAATGAGCCTCGATTAAGGCTTAATTGCTTTTTAATGTTTTTTTTAATGGGAGTTTTTTATCAAAATTAATTAATCGTTCTAAAGTTGTAGTGCACCGATTTTCCTTCGGTACAGTTATTTAAAGCTGCTTTCTGATGTCAAAAACGACTTCCGATAGTTTTTTAATTTTTTTAATTAATAGATTTTATTATATATATGTTTAATTAATTAGGGGGGTCGGAAATCGCAATAAAAATTATAATTTTTTAAAAATATAGGTTTAGTTTCTAGTCACCCTACTTTAAACCCTTCTCCTCCCGAGAAGTCTGAGAATGTCCCGGGAAATATGACACCAGCTGTTCTCAAGGTCATCCAGATGTGTAAACAATGACTCATCGGTGTTAAATTTCACAGAAAGGCGAGACAAAGGAAACTAAACGATGAAGCTTTTTAACCAAAATTAACGCATGTCTTTCCTTTTTTTTTCAGTTGTAAGTATTTTTATGCTTAATTAAAAATTTTTTTAAAAAAGTGGACAAGAAGCGGTTAAAAACAATAGAGTGAAAAATGCAGATCCTGAATATATTTGTACTTTTACCTCTCTTGCATTATATAAAGAATTTTTGATAGTTTTTGTTTTAAACAGCCTGTGTAATGCTTTTCACCAAAATGTTCAATGTAACTAATAAAATCAAACAGTTTTTCAGTACATCTTGTTGAGATAAAGCAAGAGGAACATTCTGTACAAATGGATGTTGAACAGTAGATACAATTAACTGTCCAAAAATTTCATGGCAATCTGAATATAAGATCACTTTGGATAGAATAAATATTCAAATTTATGTCATGAAAGTTGAAAGTAACATAAATCAATGACAAAAACCATGAAAACCCTTGACTTGGAGAAAATTCAAGCAAGAAAATTCAAATTGGAGTTGTTAAATTCCTATGCTACTCCATTGAGACCAACCAAGCATTTCATTTTCTTCAAGATAAAGAAATATTTGAGTTACAGAAGTTTTACTGTATTTAACTGAAAATAAGAGTATTAAAACCATCTTTAATTTGCTTTTATTATAACAATCCAAAGAAATACTTTAAATTGCAAAATTTTTGGCACTGTGATCTAGAAACAGAAATTCATACTACTTTTTCACATAGCATGTTTAATGGCATTTATTACCTGAATTATCTCAAATACTGAAGTTTGAACATTTCTAGTGTTCAACACTAGTCTAAAGCAGAATTTTAAGATAAATGTGGTCAATAAACTGGGAATACATGGTAGATTATACAGAAAGGTATTGGAAAAAAAATTTCATTTTCATAGCCTATTTATATTTCAATGCTTTTGAATCAGGATAATTTTTAACTTTGATTTCCAATTGTTGACACTATAACTAACCAAACTAGAATGGATTACAATTGTAAAACATGTACACGTGCACTCACTCACCTAACTTTTATCTTATATGTTTCAACGGATCAAACATTAGTTGTCAGATATATATTTTTTGTTGTTAGTAAATGATTTAGTAAATATTAGAAAATATGTTTGCAATGACTATCTGAAATTAATTTGTTCAAACATTCAATTTATGAGCTCTATGACGGCTTTTCTTTTCCACTAGACTTATTACACCATCATTTAGAAACAGGACAAGCTTTAGAAAATCACATTTTTTATTTCCTAGAGTATGCATTTTGGACTTTGAGTCCCTTATCAATTCTTTGTGATGTAACTGTTTAGGAAACAATGCATACAAGTTAACAAAATTTTGCACTGTTACAAAATTTGTAAAAATTTTTAACTTACATGGTTATGAGAAGCACAGAAATGGTGACGAATGATAAAATAAGGATGGCAATTTTTAATTTACAGGTATTTGCTATAACAATAGTAGAATGTTAATGATTTACAAGAACAATATATATAACATAGATGTAAAAGTTGTGAGCTTACATTACATATGATGGTACGATACATAAAGTAGTATTAACAGTGAGAGACAAACAATATACATAATAAAGTACACTGTTAAAACCATAACATTTAAAATCATGACACTGCAAACTGTTTTACCATTAAAACATTAAAACAGAATGATGAAGTAAAAAACATGCTCACTGTTAAAACAATAAGACTATAATAATTTTGACCAGTATTATTATTCATCATTTTGTCTTTGTTTTTTAGTATTTCTAAATGTTCATACCATTTCCTTTTTTGTGTACAAGATTCTTTTTTTTAACAATTTTTACAGTGTCTCTGATAATTTGGCAACCTTCACTGTTACAATGAACTGCAACAGCCGAACTATTATTATTATATTTAATTGCAGATACGTGTTCTTTAAACTAAACCTTCAAATCTCTGCCAGTTTCACCTATATAAAATTTAGGTACAGTGCAGCTACAACAGTTTGTAAATTACAATTCTCTGGTCCCATATATTATCATCATAAACATTTATCTTCCTATTTAAACTAGGGATTTTTTCAGGCACTAAAATTATACCATATTCGTTTGATTTAAATTTGATTCTTTCAAAAATATTTTGTTCGTACAGGATTTTAAAAAATTTATAAGTGGTGTTGTTGCTTTCATGTTTGTGTTTATTAGTTTCCTTATTATTGATCCAGTTGTTGATTATGTATAAAATAACTTCTTAATCTTATTGCAAAATCCAAAATCATTAAGTTTAACAATATTTTGCTGAAACTAGAAAATGACTCAATGAAGTGCACAAAAATATTTGTAGTTAGTTTGTTCACAGTAAGATTAGAACCATCCTTCTTTTCGGAATCTTTTTACATATTAGAACAGTTCTGCTGGTACGGTAGACCTCATTATACCACACATTCAGATATATTGAGCTTTAAAAATAAAAGTACCTTAATTTAAAAAGATCAGTTGTCCTTGAATTTTTACTGGAAAAAAATATTACCTTATTCCAATCATTAAAACTGCCATTACATGAAATACAACACACTAGAAAAAGCAAGTTGATAAGGAAATTGAAAATAAATATAACAGACATATCCATCTACTTGTTTTGTCATATCATTTGATATATCATTCACTAGTTTGTCTAATGACATGCACGATATAACAAGGAGCTACTGTTTGTATCATAATTTTCTGCACATGAAGAAATCCAATGTTATGAAATTTGAAATCACACATCCATATTCAGACTTGCTTTTTCATAATAAATGAGTCAGTCATCAATCAAATAGTACTTGTAGAGATTAAAGTGAAATCTCCAAAACTGTTTAACATTGAGGAATTTTTCATTTTAAGAAGACAATTATATTATCAATTATTAATAGGGAATCAAAACTAGATGTTTAATAGTTCTTAGTTTTATTATAAGGCATTCTCTTACCTTACTATTCTATCAAAGAATTAACCATTTGTCCATTAAACTAAAATAAAGAAAAATATACCTCAAGAGCTCTTTCCTGTGATTTCATCATACGATATTCTGCATAACGTCTGACATAATCATACACATTTTGACTATTAACTTCTATACTTCCTCCTCCTGGAATTAATTCAACGCTTCCACCACCCTGAAATATGAAAAATAATATTAGCAATTCTAATTATATTTAATATTTTTAAAACAAATAATATATTACCTCTTCCACACACAGATCAATGCAGAATGTTAAATCAAGTGCAGAAAATATTGTATTTGAATCTTTTGATTCAGCATCAATTACCACTTGTCTTAGAGATTCATACAAGAGTGGATCAAAGAATGCAAGATCATGCCATCCTACACGCCTTCCAAGAATGAATTTAATGACATGACGATTTAAGAATATTGGACATAATTCATTCTGCAGCAAGCATAATCCAATCACACTAAAACACAAAAGAAAGCAATAACTATTAGAAAACAAACATTATTGGTACTTTATAACATTAATAAAATATCTAAGAAAACAGTCTGTATCAAGCCAGTTCATATATTGATAAAACTGACTGACTTGATACAAACTGTTTCTTTCTTTTCATACTAGAAAGAAAGTAGAGAGAAAACTCAAATATTTAAAACAAATACCATGCTGAATGCAAAGCAAAAAAATGAAAACTGGTTTAAAAAATTTGTAAAAGACTGAAGGGGAGCAAAAAAGTGTCTAAAATGCATTTCCTAAAATATAAGAATATAACGTGGTGAGTGACATCCTTAAAAGAAACTATTACATAAGTTTTATTAAACAATTATTAACCTGTTATTTCATTTGTTCATTGCAAAATCAAAAATGTTTTTTAACCAAAATTCTAAATCAATTTAGTATTATTTGAAAAGAATTTTTTATTTAAAATATTCTTCAAGAAAGTTATTTGTTATCTTCATCCATACTTAAATTGGTTTATATCAAAATTACACTAGTTTCTTAGTCACAATAGTTGTATGAGATAAAATTAATAGAACAAGAATCTTCACTAACCGACCAACATTACGAAATGCATTTAATCTTTCTGATGTAGATTTTCCTTGACGAGGAGAATAAAAGCCTCTTTTCCCTGGTTGGTAAAAAAGTGGAGTATTATCTTCCATGTCATCATCATCTTCGGCATCACTTCGGCGTGTAGAACTGTTCCTACGAGACCTATCTACTAAATTGAAAACATCCAAATCCAACAATGCTTCGGAACTCGTTTCTCTGAAAATAGTTAGGAATAAAATTAATTATTCTGTTACCAAAATAGCAATTTGCATTATTTTCTCAATTTTTAAATGCTGTAAAAAGATCTTAAAAAAAAATAAATAATAATAATAATAATTTACTAACCTGCCATGGGATAATATTATGTCAACAGCTTCATCAACTTTCAATCTCAAAGCATCTTCAGAAGCTAACAACAAAAGTAATTGTGCAGCAGATAATTCAAGTAACATGCCAGTAATTTTACTTGCCAAAGACTGAAAATATAAATAAATACAATCAATTTATTCTATAAAATAGTACATTGTACAACTTTGTTGTATCATGATTAAATTGAGGTGGAGCCAAAAACAAAGAAGCAATCCCTTCACCCATTAGGCATAATAAAGGTGATCATTATGCTTGATGGATGTGGACAGGTGAACTTTGCACTTGTCACCTCAAAAGAGCCTTGTACCTTCTACCTGCATGCCATGGGAGAGAAAATCCTTGCACTTACCAACATAGAGATATGATCCAAGAACAAAGTAATTGCCATCGATTGTTTTATTCTTATGTTTTGTTCATTTTTTGCGCATATTTTCTGTTAAGTGTGCACAATGCTGTTTTCATCTTTGACCCCTATGCCTACATTCTGTTAAGTGTGCTCAGTTGCATCAGAAAGCATGAACACCATCACTTTAATACTTCTGTACATAGAAAACAAAGTCATGGACTCCTCTTTTTACTTTCCCAGCTCTGTTATATATAACAGAGGGAAAGTATGGCAATCAATCAAAAAATGATACCCAAGATTTTCACATTTTTGAACTTGATACCTTAAAACATCGAGAAATGCATAAAACTTTGGGTTTTTTTCCTGTATCTATGGATGTTAGTGTGTATGGGGGCACAATTTTCTTCACCATCTTTGAAGCTTAATAACTCGTTAATAAGCTAACTTAATAAGCATTATTAAGCATTTTTTCCTATATGTAATATTTAAAATATTACTATATGATTTTGATGATATGAAACCGTGCTTTGCTATTTGTTTATGCTTCTGACACAATATAGTGCTATAAATTAAGACACTTGGCGGATTTTCTCATCTTTATTTAGTTGATACGTGTGGAAAAAATTACACGTTTCGAGCTCTTAAGCCCCTCTTCAGTCAACTAAAACATTTAAAAAGGATATAACATACACATAAAAAGGAATA